AACACCGTTTGCTTCAAGGGGATGTTTTACTTGGCAAGTGACCCTGGGAATGCCTCATCCACAAAATGGCAATCAGATCAGCAGTCTTATTCCTGCCTGCTGAGGGCCCACAGGGAGAGTGCATAGGACTATGGTTCTCTCAGTGTGCTCTCTCCCTTTCCTCCCAGGAACCCTTCCCACTGCCTGTCCATTCCTCAGGGGCCTAGAATCCATACTGCCCCACTAAGCAGGGGAATATTTGGGCCATATGCCCCATCCTGCCCTCCCTTGCCATTGTCCTTCCCTCATTACGATCCTGCTAGGAAATAGATCAGAATGGCACATCTGTAATGGGTGATAAAAAATGAAACCCTAAGTGTTAGGGGACAGTATAGAGGAAGAGCATCTGTAACCAAAATAGCTATAATTCAGTAAGTCAATCAGACTGAGGAAATAGTTTCCTTCTTCATCTCTGAGACCCTAGAAGGAAACAAAAGGCCTTGTTTGTAACTTGAAATGGTGCTTGAATTAGGGTTGCCCGATACAAAAACAACAAATAAATACAGAACACCCAGCTAGATTTGAATTTCAAATGAACAACCGATCATTTTTTAATACAAGTACGTCCTGAATATTGCACAGGATTTTATTAGATTAAAAAAAGTACTGGTTGTTTATCTGAAATTCAAATTTAATTGGGTGTTACGTATTTGATCTGGCAATTCTAGCATGGATCTACCTGCATGTTCAATAAAGAGAATTGAAATATGAAATTTCCAAACCAGTTGTTTGAAGTTATGTAACGAAGCCAGCAACTGAATTCAGCTGTTTGTTTCTCACCAAGGGCTTAGTAGTTGTGCACCCGCACAGGGTGGTGATTTGGGGTTGGGGAGCCAAGAGTATGCCTGTCCCGCTGCTGCCCACTGAGATGCCACTTACATGTCTTCCGTTTTGCAACAGATTTTTTTTTAAAGATTTTATTTATTTATTTGACAGAGACACAGCGAGAGAGGGAACACAAGCAGGGGGAGTGGGAGAGGGAGAAGCAGGCTCCCCGCGGAGCAGGGAGCCCGATGCGGGGCTCGATCCCAGGACCCTGGGATCGTGACCTGAGCCGAAGGCAGATGCTTAATGACTGAGCCATCCAGGCACCCCACATTTTGCAACAGATTTATCTCCAGTTTATTTTAAGGTTCTGGGACAAAACTCCGAAGAAAGTGATGTGTTCAGATCTCAAATATGAAATCAGAAGGCTCAAGGGGAGAAGAAGGTGCAGTGATTCTTGAAAGGGAAAGAGACCTATGTTAAATGGTATCCATGACATAATATACTTTCAAAAAGTGTTATGACGAGGTGGTCCCCAGAGGATTACAAACTGGAGCATTGGCGTGGCTTATAAACATTTATGTGAACTAGAAATAGGCCAGTTTCAGAATCTGAACATCATTGTCTTCAAATGACTCCTATACTAATATTTATCTTCAAACTTGAATTGCCCATTTTGTCTGTATAAACTAGTCAAATGAACTAGGTAATCACCAGATAACCCTATTGTTTTTTAGCTCTTAGATGCAAACTATTGGCTCAGAAGCCAAAGACGGGTTCCAGCTTCCACTCTGCCACTTTGAGATATAGCTTTCTTAGCTATGCTTTCTTTATCTACCAAAAGAAAGAATAATTTTGCCCTGCATGCCTCATTGATTTCTTTTAAATTTTAAAAGAAAAAAATTCATGATAAATTCTCAATGTGCACACCTATTTAGATTTAATCAATGTGCTATATGCTGTTTTGTCTTTTTCTTCTTTTTCTGAATTTTGAATTTTCATCTATCGACAGCATACCTTAAATTTGTCTTTGTTGGTGCCTTCATGGGATGATATCGTGTTCATACTCAGAGTTAACTTCTCCCCAATTATTAAATATTTGTCATGTTTCTAGCTTTTTTCCACTACAAAATTGTTATCATAATCCATCTTCATATAAATTGTCTTTTTCTCTCCTCTGGTTTCCTTCACTGGGACATGTTTCTTGGAACAAGTTTGATTAGCTTTTGTTATTTATTGTCAAGTTGCACTTCAGGCGAGGTGGAGCCTATGGACTCCTTTGTGTATGTGGGTCCACTCCCACATTGTCTTTTGATCTTTAATTTATCCTAATTAATAGAAAAGCAGTTGTAGTTGTTTTAGTTGAAGCTCTTTGTGAGGATGGCTAAGCATTTTTCAATATCTCTTTTCATTAATTGTATTTCAGCATGTATGAATATGTCTCCATCTTTCTCTTGTCTCAGTCTTTCCACATTATGGATGGTAGACTTTTGTGTGTATATATTTTTAAATTTGTTTTTATCTTTCTGATGCACTTCCTTTCATCTTAGTTTTGTTACTGTCCATCATATAGCATATTTTACTTTATTGTTTGTATTATAATTGAGCCCATCCTTGTCACTTATATCTTCTTCCATAGTTAAGATAATCCATTTCATTCCCCTTTAAGGTTTTTATAGGAATATTTAAAATGTTTAACTATATAACACATCTGGAATTTATTGTGGCCTGTGAGAATCAAAAAGCATATTGAGAAAAGTAAACAATTTAGAATTTTTTTTTAAAACTAACTTGAGTCCAGCAACACTAACTTATGACAAGTCACTTAACCTCTTAAGACCCTGTGCCCTCTATTAGACTGAAGACAGGGACCTTGTCTTATTTTTCTTTGTTTTCCCCCACAATATCCAGGAAAGTACCTTACATATAGGATAAATTTTATAAGGTCTATATTCAGGTCATACTTTTTGCATAATTATTACTATCAAATTGTTCCAACAGCATTTATTAAATAATGATTCATTTCTCAAATATTTATTTGGTTACTTATTATTGATCACATATCAGTGATACTCAGACTTGGCAAAACACCTGGAAGTTATGGCCTTCTGCAAAACATCATGAAACATGGAGATATTTAAGTTAAAATAATGAAAATTAAAACTTGATGCTAAATCAGACACCAACTTACACTAGATTCTAGTATAGTACAGATACCATCAGATGCCAAGAGTTTTTTTTTAATTTGTGGGAGAAATGTTAAAATTGAGAAAATTCTACCCAATAACTTAATTCCTTCTAAGAATCAGGAAAAGAACACCCATCCATGGAACAGGTAGTTCATCGAGAGCAAAAGTTGAAAACCACATCTTATATTAAGCATACCCAGTTGAGAACATAAATAAAAGCTTCTGATCAAATGTAAACACTACATGAAGTCCAGCTGAACTGGGCTGAACTCCAGCTGAACTCAGAAACTATTTAAGATCAGCCTTTTGAGTTTCCAGCGTTGGAATTCCCATAATATTAGGAAGTCTAAGGGAGAATAGATGTCCGATCTCCAGTGTGTGTTCACACCAGCAACCTTAATTCCAGGCACTTCTGTTCATTAATCTATAAATCAGAGGAGATGACACAAGGCACCTTGTGTCCTACCATATCATAGCATATGGACTTCACAAAGCAAGCAGGAGGTATGTTGGAACTCTCAGAAAGAACCCATTTCCATTCTGGATTCGTTGTAGTCTGAAGACAATGCCATCTCGAGAGCTGGAGTCCTGCCTTCTGCACAGACTTCCTGAAGATGTGGACAGGGATATCTTTAAAGGCTACTGGAGCCCTCTGCAAGCAACTTCATTGTGCTGTGCTAATTATTTGTATGTTTTCACAGAGCTTACTTTTACTTAGACCTTAGCTTACAAAAACAGTTTCTTGTTAAGAAAGACAATATGCTGTAGTTTTTAAAAAGAACACTTCTAGAACAGGAGGTAAGAATCTAGGGTTGCATCCTCACTCTGCCACTTCATCTGGGATGAGTCGTTCAACATTTGTGGGCCTTAGTTTTCTTTTCAAAAAAAAAATGGGTATTTAGAATAAATGGTTCCTAAAGTCCTATATAGTTCTAATAGTCTTGTTCAACATAGATATTTCCAGTTCAAGTGAAGATGCAAAACTTCATACTTAGGAAACTGATAATTTGCTATTCATAATGGCCTTGCTGAGTTATTCTTCACTTAGAAAATTCCCCAAGAATTTCCCTAAATAGTAGGAACCTCTAGTGAAGTCAAGTTCTGATTCCAAGTACAAATCTCCAACTCTGTTTTATGAATATGCTATACACTCGGTAGAGGAAAGTGATATCTCTTCTCTGGACTGTGACATTCATGAACAATATTCTGTGGCAGCTCTGGGCGGGGGGGTGTGTATGTTGGCAAGAAGTTAGAACTGCTAAATCCTGATTCAGATATAGTGCCAAAAGGACAGCAGATTCCACGAAAGTCATCTGCTTAGAAGGGAAATAAATCATGACTTCATTGGACACGTGGTTTCTTAATCTCCAGTTCACTCTTGGTCCAAGGTTCTGAAATCAGGGCTAACACGGAGAGGCTGCTTTGTGAAATCATGCAATTATCTTTTCCCCTTCTCCTTTACACTATCTCCAGAGATTGCATGGATCAATGGTACTGTTCAAAGCATTTCAGTAAATACTAGTTCAAGCCATTTTCCCTCCAAAATGTATCCCACCAAAAGGTTTGCTTCTCATCTACCCAAGAGTGTGTGTGCTCCAGATGTCTTTGAACCCTCACTGTAGGATGTGTTGTAAACTATCCCAGATAGCCTTCATTGTCCTGAGTTATCCCACTAAGCTACTACTCCGCACTCTACAAAGGCTGACCACCAACCTCTACTTCACCAGCATGGACGAACCAATTTGTTTTCTGTCACTCTTGACAGCTGATTTGGATAAGAGCAACAAAGCAAAGTTCTAGCGGCCCTTGTTTACACTTAGCAATTCCTATGTGTGTATTTGTGTTTTAGGATGACATTTCTGCCAATATTAGCAGAGCTCCAACATACCCGTTAAAATGGGACATGGTTTCCACTTAGTGCATTTATGTGAAGAGCAGTTTTTTACCTGATTTCCACAACACCTCAGATGGTTTACAGTAAAGTTTTGCTATCTTGTTGCAGTTTCAGAAAATGGTCTTATACAGAAGCAGCGAACACCTCGCCGAAGATGTCAGCAGCCCAAAATGTTGAGTAGCCCTGAGGACACCATGTACTATAACCAGTTAAATGTGAGTTCAAAGTGGCCATAAAGCTGTTTCACTGGCTTTGTTTCCAGTTAATAATTCTGTTATTAATACCTGTTCCAGCCCCTCCAGCCCCACCCCCACTCTCTTATGCTCTCTTCTCGAACATGTGCTTAGGCTCTTTATCTGTTGCTTTCATGTCAGGATGTCTGCCTTCACGGTGAATAATTGATGTGGTTTATCAAAGACGAGCAAGATGCATGCTTCATCAGGCTCACTTGAGCCCTTTGATCAAAAAAATTATGCTGTGACTTCTGATATTATCAGCATCTGCTTGCATTCAACACAAAATCACTTTGAATTAAAAATTAACGACTTGCTGCTTTGCTTTGACTGTGTGTTCTTGGCCCTTTCCACAGGGAACTCTAGAATATCAAGGGAGCAAGAGGAAGCCAAGAAAACTTGGGTAAATATCTGTCTTCTTAGTTCTAAGCAACTGTAAACAGAAGGGGTCCTTTGTGATATTACAGAAAATGCAAAACTTTCCAGAGAAGCTTCTAAAAATATGCAAATGGAGCTATCACCACTATTATTGACATTGGAAACTACTTTTCACAGTAGCAGCTACATAAAACTTGAATCTTTTCTGTCCAGAAAGGCTGAAATTGCCACCTAAAGGCAAATGTTATTTTTCACAATTATGCCAGGAAATTGTGGTTTTCCTCATAATTGCAGACGTAGCAGATTATATAAAACTCTCCCACAAGTAAAAGCATTCCACGCAGTGCAAATAGGCCGCTTCCCACATCACCCTACCCCTGGGCCTTAAAAGTACACAAAGGAAAATCTCCCCCAGTGGTTAGACAGAGGACACTAGGGAGTTTGTGGCTCATTTGATTGTTAGTATCCCGATCGAGAATATCGTGACATATGTAACTGGTGCTAGTTTGAGAACTGGAGGAGGACAGGAGGGAGCTTTCTCTTCTAGAGGGAACCAAACAAGGACAGACAAGTCAATTCAGGCAGACAAGTTATAATATGATCACAACTTCCAGACACCACTACATTGGGCCTGTTATCAGCCCGTGACCCTGAGGTGAAAGGCTTTGCGGATCAGACCTCAGTTCCTATGTTCTGGGAGACCCTGAGCTACCTACCTGCCATTGAGGGGACCCAACCCTGTTCTCAGCACTCACGCAACTTTAGCTGCTCCAGGGATGACTGCGGCCTTTGTCCTCTTTTTCTGCTGAAAACTCTTTTCTTTGTTGCAGCCAAATCAAAGTGCTTGATGGGGAAGATGAATATTACAAATCCTTGTCACCTGTGGACTCTATTCCCGAGGAAGACAACCCATCCTGCCCTTTCTTTTCTTCCTCATCCTCAAAAGGAACATCTTTTGCTCAGTACTGAAGTGTACTTCCTGCCCCCCAAGTCTGTTGAGGGTAAGAACAATCGTGGTAATTGACTGTCATTTAATAAGAAAGTACTGCGATGGGGTCATCTTCTTTGGACACATGGTCTGGGTCTGAGACTTACTGAATAATTTGCAGATTCCTAACCATGTTCTCATATCTCCATTGCCCTCCCCATATCTGCAGTACGGCCTGAGCTGGGCAGTTTTCGTTTTCTCATCTCATGGGTACCTGTGGGATACTGAGCACACCTCCAGTACAGCAATAGGCATCATTCGTGCCCTCAGAATCTAGGAGGGTAACAGATAGTCTCACCATAAGCCAATCGTGAATGCTGATGGTATTTATTTTTCCTGCCACGTCAGTCCTTGCAAAATCTGCCCCTGTGAAAATTCAGTCCTCCCTTTCCACCTTACATTCCTCCCCCTGCATTCCCCTCCTCCTTTGAGAGACCCTTCAGGCCTTTCTCCAGAGTCAGAATTCCACTGCCGAGGGTCCCCATCCTGAAGAAGCACACTACCCAAGGTCTCCTAGGGCAGGATAATTTTTTGTGTTTAGGGGGAGAGGCCTAAATCCTTCTGTAAGGCAGATGAACTCCTCTTTTGCTAGTTATTATGCTGATAAAGGCTTTGCCTCTTTACTCCCATCACCTTAGCAGTAAAAACAAAGGAATTAGAGGGAAAGAAAATTTGGACCTGTCATAGTCTATGTCACATGGTTAGTAAATTCCCATTCTCTGGTCAGTGATGTCCACTAGGCTGTGAGTGACTGTAGGGAAAGGATCTTGTTTTGTGCCTATTTTTGTGGGCAGAGCCTAGGTCAGTGCCTGTCACAGAATGGACATCCCGTAAATGCCCTTAAGTGAATGGAGGGACTTCACTTATTTACACTAACATATGTGACAGGAAAGTATATTTCAATTCTGTGTGCTACATGATTAATCACTTTTCTTACACCATAAGCTCTGATTTTTCACCCCAGGTTGGGCTAGTCCTATTATAATAATATTGTACCATATATTATAATACTCAGTATGATTCAATACAACAAACATCTTTTGAGCAACTACTCTATGCAAAACAATGTGTGAGATTGCTGTATGATATAAAAAAAAAAAAAAACCCTACAAGACCTTTTCTCTAGAACAGATGTTCTCAGCATTTTTTACTTTAAAATACTTGGCAGATCGTACATGTGGGAGTACCCAGATTTTGGGGAAAAAATAACTGGAAGAAATAGAAAAAAAAATGTTATCAGAGTTACAGAGGGGAAAATTTTAATATACATTTTACAAAGATAAAATAATGAAATGAGGCATCTAAAGATCTCAGAAATGTATTTTTAAAGAAAAAGAAATAGGAAAAGCCAATTATTTAATAGTTAAACTTTACTTTTTAAAAAAATGAGCCTTGATTTTTTCTCACACATTCACCCCAAAGGTAATGTTTATTAAGGTATACAAGCAGAAGAAACACAAATGACCTTTATTATTTAAAAAATATCTAGTATATGTAGCTTTTTAACATAATTTAAATATAAGTATTTTTGTGTTGAATTATAGGATAGGTGTACAACATAGTGATTCGACAGTTCTGTGCATCATGTGGTGCTCACCACTCTAAGTGTAGTTCCCATCTATCTCCATACAATATACTTGACTGCATTCCCTGTGCTTCACTTTTCATCTCTGTGACTTAGTATGTAAAACTGAAGTCTGGGCCGCCTGGTGGTTCAGGCGGTTAAGCATCTGACTCTTGATTTTGGCTCAGGGTTGTGACACCGAGCCCCACTCTGGGCTCCACGCTGGGCATGGAGCCTGCTTAAGATTCTCTCTCCCTCTGCCCCTCCCCCCACTCCATAAATAAATAAATAAATAAATAAATAAATAAATCTAGAAGTTTGTTGTCTCTTAATCCCCATCACCTATTTCACCCATCCTCCCACCTCACTCCCCTCTGGTAACCATCAATTTTTTCCCTGTATTTATGAGTCTGTTTCTGGTTTCTGTTTGTATGTTTGTTTGTCCATTTGTTCATTTGTTTTGTTTTTTAGATTCTACATGTAAGTGAAATCATACAATATCTGTCTTTCTCTGACTTATTTCACATAGCATAATACCCCTCTAGGTCCTTCCATGTTGTCACAAATGGCAAGATCTCATTCATTTTTATGGGAATAATTATGAAACTATAATTTAGAAGCTCTGCAGTAGGGGCGCCTGGGTGGCTCAGTTGTTAAGCGTCTGCCTTCAGTTCAGTCATGATCCCAGGGTCCTGGGATCGAGCCCCGCATCGGGCTCCCTGCTCAGCGAGAAGCCTGCTTCTCCCTCTCCCACTCCCTCTGCTGTGTTCCCTCTTTCACTGTGTCTCTCTCTGTCAAATAAATAAAATCTTTAAAAAAAAAAAAGAAGCCCTGCAATAATTAGTCATTGCCACAGCTAGAACTCCTAACTACTTTAGAAATGGGGTTCACTATCAGCTACACCATCTACAGATTGTAGATGTTATTCTTAAACTAGTCATAATGCCACAAACTCAAGAAGCAATTCTTAAATCAAATATATGAGAATGATGCAACCTGGAATCTCATAAATGTCCTGTTAGATTTATCAAAGTAATAAGCACGCGGCAAAAACAAGACAAAAAATCAGAGAGTCCAGAGGGTTTATAATGGAAATCAATCTTCTTCTCCCTGTCCCTACCTTAGTCCCTCCCCTCTGAAGCAACCATTTTTTATTATTTCTAATTCTAATTCTTTTAATGGTTTCCATCATGTCTGTGAATAATTTACTTCCCTCTTCTTGGTTTATCATTTTCAAAAATATTTACTCTCCCCCTCTATGAAAGATGTGCATTTATTTCAATTCTGTCTCCCCTCTCTTACTTCTTCCAGTGCTTACAATTTGATGTTTAAGTTTTTGTTGATTACCTTTTAAACTTTAAATTATATAATTAAACCCTATTTTTGTGTGTCATTGACTTTAGATACTATCTCTGCGAGAATACCTGACATGAAGAAAACCAACAAGCTGAAAAATACTGTCAAGACAAAATAACTGACCTTGGACAAAATAGAAGTCATTCCGGGAATAGAACAGTTTTTAAAAGCTTCACTGGAAACCATTGGTGTTCATGTTGTGAGCTGCTGGCTTTTCTTCCATTTTGGTTCATCTGCAGACATGCCTCCATCCACTTTAACTTTCTTTATTTTTAAATGTCATGCAAATACAGAAAAGGGCACAAATCAGAGGACTCAACTCATTAAGTTATCAGAAAGTGAATGTCTATATAACTGCCCCTACAGTCAAGTTATCTATGTAACCACTCCTACAGTCTGATATGTTATTAGAAAGTGAGTATATATAAACCTTCTGTGGGTCAAGTGGAACGTTGTCAGCACACTAGAAGTCCCCCTCTTGTCCATTCCCAATCACCCACCTCTCCAAAGACAAGCACTCTCATGACTCTTGTGGTAAATACTTCCTTGGTTTTCTTTATAATTTTACCACTTACAAACATCCCTAAACACTATAGTTAAATTTTGCCTCTTATAGTTAGGTTCTGGGAACTTTATATAAATGGAATCATGTAGCATGTAATCTTTTGGGTTTTGTTTCTTTTATTTGGTGTTATATTTGTGAGATTAATCTATGTTGTAGAATGTAAACATAGCTCATTCATTTTCAAAACTATGTAACATTCCAGTATATGAATATGGCGTAATTGACGTAGCCATTCTGCTTTTGATAGACAAATATGAATTATTTCCAGTTTGGGGCTATTCTGGACATTGCTACTGTGAACATTGTTGTGTGTCTCTTGGTGTCTATTTGCATGCATTTCTGTTGGCTATATACGTAGGATTAGGATGGCAGAGTTCTAAGGTACCCATATCTGCACTTCAGTAGGTAATACCAAACTGTTTTCCTAAGTGATTTTACCAATTTACAGTCACACCTGTGACATAAAAGAGCTTCCATTGTTCTGTATTCTCTCCAATTCTTGTTATTATCGGTCTCCTTCATGTGGGCACTCTGATGGGTATATATTAGAATCTCACTGTTGATTGATAGCTTACATATCTCTGATTAATAATGATATTGAGCACATTTTCATACTTTAGTGGCCTAAAATTTTAGATACCTTCTTTTGTGATATGCCCATTTTTATTTGGGTTAACTACATATTTTCTTTTAATTTGAAGAAGTGTATTATATATTGTTAGTTATATGTGTTGCAAATATTTTCTCCACTAGGTGGTTTGTCCTTTCATTCCCTTAAGGTATCTTTTGATTAAAAAAAAAGTTTGTAATGTTAACATAATACAACTTATCGGTGTTTTTCTGTTTGATTAGTACTTTTTTATAGCCTATTAAGAAATCTTATCCAGCCCCAAGGTCATAAAGGTATTTACCTTTAGGATTTTCTGGAGACATTATTGTCTTGCCTTTCACATTTAGATCTTCAACCCACCCAGAATCAATTTTGTGAATGCTATGTGGTAAGGGCCAGTTTTCATGTTTTCTCATAATGGATATTCAGCTGTCAAAGGCCCATTTAATGAAAAGGCCATCTCTTTTCTACTGCTCTAAAATACTACCATTTACATAAATCAAGTAATCATGAATCTGTTCCTAGATTCTCTGTTCTGTTCTGTTGATCTGTTATCCTTGCCGTAAATCCTATACATTTATAATAGGCTTTGGTATACGACAGAGCAAGTCTTCTAACACGGTTTTTCTTTTCCAAGAGACCTTTGATTAGTCTGGGCTCTTTGCATGTTATAGATTCAGATAGTCAATTTATGAAAAAAAGAAAAAAACTGTTGGTATTTCTTTGGAATTATCTTGAGTCTGTAAGTCAATTTGGAAGTAATTGTCATGTCTACAATATTGAATTTTCCAAACTATAAGCATGGTATATCCTTCTAGTTATTTAGTTATTCCTTCTCTTCTCTTAATAATGATTAATAATTTTATCTGAGAAATCTTACACATAGTTTATTAGTTTTATCCCTATGTACCATATATAATTTTATAGTATTTAAAAGTGTTTTTTAAATTTTTTAACTGTTTGTTGCCTGTTCTAGATTAAATGTTTATGTCTCCCCAAAATTCATATGCTTAAATCTAATTCCCAGTGTAGTGGTATTTGTTGGTGGGGTCTTTGGGAGGTGATTAAGTCATGAGAGTAGAGCCCTCATGAATGACATCAGTACCCCTTTAAAGAGACCCCAAAGACCTGGCTTGCCTCCACCCCATAAAGACACAGTGGAGAGATGGCTATCTCTGAACAGGCAAGCAGACGCTCATGAGACACCAAATCTCCTGGCACCTTGATCTTGGACTTCCCAGACCTCCAGAACTGTGAGAGATTAATTTCTGTTGTTTAAGCCACCCAGTCTGTAGTATTCTGTTATGGCAGCCCAAACAGACTAAGACATGCCATTATATGAAAGTGCAATTGATATTTAGTATTTGAGATCCATCAGCTTTGCTAAGTCATTAATTCCAGTAATGTATCTAGATATTTTTGGATTTTCTACATACATAATTTTACCTCTACAAATAACTATAGACATTTTCTTCCTTTTTCATACTGCATACTTCCTTTTATACTTTGTTTTTTTCTTGACCTACTGTCTTATAATGTTTTTACTGCATTATAAACCACCCCAAATTATTTCTTACAAGTCTGTGGTTGGCTGAATATTTCTGCTGATTTGAACTAGTCTTGCCAGGACTCATTTGTGCATCTGCAGTTAGCTGAGGTCAGCTAAGCACCTTTGCTGATGTTGGTGGGGTTTCTCACATATCTAAGACCAAGCAAGGACAGCTGGGCCCCCTTAGTTCTGTTCAACATGGTCTCATCCTCCAATTTGTTATTATCCCCAGTGGCGGTACCAGAGTCACTGAAAAAGAGAGGGAGAAGGGAAGGAGAGGGAGAGAGAGAAAGAGGTCTCTTGAGGTTCAAACTGGCACATTGTCAATTTAGCCATATTCTTTTAACCAAAGCAAAATACAAGGCCAGCTCAGATTCAAGAGGGGCTTCGGAGTCCCATTATATGGCAAAGGGTGTGGATACAAGGAAAAGTAGAGAATTGAAGTCACTTTTTTTTTTTTTAATCAAAATACCACACTGACCTGGCTAAGACTTTCAGTACAAGGTTGGTTAGGAGGGCTAACAGTAAGCACTCTTGTCTTTTTTGCAGTCTCAAAGAGGGAAAGCTTTCAGTATTTTATAACTAATTATAATATTTGCTGTTCCTTTCTGTTCTCAAGAGGGTTTTTCCCCTTATAAGTGGATGTTCGATTTTGTCACATGCTTATTTTTTATGTATTTAAATAATTCTATGATTTTACCCCTTTATTTTGTTAATGTCCTGAGTTATGCTGGTTTTCTAATATGAAAGCAGCCTTGTATCCTTGCAATACATACAACTCTATCATGTCGTATTTCCTTTTACATTTTGCTGTATTTGATTTGTTAATTTAAAAAAATTTATATCTGTGCCCATGATGAAATTAACATATAAATCCTTAATTCTCATAATATCTTTACTTGCTTTACTCTGGAAGATTTTATGTAAGAATGACATCAGTTCTTTCTTAAAATTGTTTTAATTCACTAGGGGAGCTATCTGTGCCTGCAGTTTTTTATGAGGGAAAATTTTAATTATAGATTAAATTTCTTTAATAACTTATGACTACTCATATCTTCTATTTCTTCCTGCATCAGTTTTGTTAGGTTTTAGTTTTCCAGAAATTTGTCCATGTTTTCTACATTGTCAAATTTGGTTAGAATTATTCAAAATATTTCTTAAGGTATTTTTAATATTGTAGAATCTACAGTCGGATCCCCTTTTTCCTTTTGCAGTGGTGACAATTTGTGTTTTCTTTTTCCTTAACTATTCTTGCCAGGTCTGCCAATTTTATTAGTGTTTTAATGGAAACACTTTTGATTTTGTTCATTTTTTTTCATTACCTATCTGTCCTACTTCACTAACTTTTGCTCTTAGGCTTATTATGTTTCTGCTTTGATAAAATTGGCTGCATCAGTTATGATTTCTTTTTTAATTCATAAGATTTTCAGAAGTTTATTAATTTCTAAACATACAAGGACTTTCTCCTATATTTTTGTTGTTGAGTTCTAGCTTAATTGTTCTTATGGCCAGAGAACAAATTCAGTATTATTTCAAGACTTTGATATTTATTGAGACCTTATAACTCAGCATATGATTTTTTTTGGTAAAACTTTCATAAATATTCCACATATACTTAGAAATAGGGTGTATTCTGCAGTCTTCTATATATGCAAAATAGGTCCGGTTTGTTAACTGTCATCTTTTCCATGCTCACTGCTATTTTTTTCTTATTGCTTTTTCCATCAGTTAAGAGATGTATGTTCAAATCTCCCACTATGAATTTGTCTATTTCTCCTTTTAGTTTTAGCAATTTTGTTCTCTATGTATTTTAAGCCTATATTATTAGGTACATATACACAATTTTATCTTTTTTTTTTTTTGGACACCCAAGAAATTACAGTATGCATCCTTGACTTAACCAAAATCTAATATTACTCAGTACTTTTACCCTTTTCTTGGACAATTCAAGAATTCAAGGACCTTAAAACACTAACAATATCTCTATGTTATATATTCCTCCTTGATTATATTGCCCCTATTGTGGTATATTTTTTTAAGTAGGCTCTACACCGAACATGGGGCTCAAACTCACAACCCCAAAATCAAGAGTCACATGCTCTACCAACTGAGGTGTCCAGGTGCCCCTATTGTGGTGTGTTTTAATTTCATATATATCTTAAATCCCACAAGATGTTATTATTGTTTTCATTGCTCTTCATTTCTTCCCACATCTCAGACCTTTATTCTGATGTCCATTTCCTTCTGCCTAAAGAGCACCATTAGTGTTTCCCTTACTGTGAGTTTGCTGTTATGTTTTTTTTATAACTAAAAAATGTCTTTATTGCATCTTAATTCTTGAAGGGTATTTTTGATAAGTGTAGCATAATATGTTGGCAGTTATTTTCTCTTAGAACTTTAAAGAGCACTTCGTTATCTTCTGGTTCTCATTGTATCTGATGAAAAGACAACTGTAATTCAAATTGTTGTTCCTTTGAAGGTAATCTATCTTTTTCCCTGACTGCTTTTAAGGTTTTTCTTTTTCTTTGGTTTCTAGCAGTTTTAATCTGATGTGGTTCTCATTTATGTTTTCTTATTCTCTTGGTTATTATTTATTGCATATTGGAAATTATAGTTGTGAAATTGTTTGTGAAGATAATTTGAGACCCAGGATAATATTCCCTTCCTACACAAAACAGTAGTATTTGCTGGGGGCATTAATAAATCAGGACCACTTTAATCCAACTGCAGACCCTATAATGGTTTGAAACTGGCCTGCAATCCTTGTAAGAGCAGTCTACATCTGGTTCACTATCTCCTAGAGTAGAGCCCTTTGCCCAAGTCAGGGTGTGTGTGTGTGTTGGGAACATAGGTTTTTAAGACTCCAACTTTTGGGGCACCTGGGTGGCTCAGTCGGTTAAGCATTTGCCTTCAGCTCGGGTCATGATCCCGGAGTCCCGAGATTGAGCTCCCCGTTCGGTGGGGCGGGGGGCGGTCTGCTTCTCCCTCTGCCCTTCACCCTGTTTGTGAGTTTATTCTTTTTAGTTCTACCTTACTGCCATTTAAATGAGATCTCAGGAATAGAAGATACAAATGTGTGCATGCTATATCTGCCATGCTGTAACCTATCCTGCTTAAAATTAAGTAAATAATTTACAAATACTAATATTTGAACTATTATTCTTATAACAGTTAATTATTGAGATATAATTCACATACCATACAACTCACCCTTTTAAAGTGTACGATTCAGTATATTTGAACTATTATTAATAATGAATTATTAGTTTCATGCAATTAAATTCCACATATTACTATTTTAAGACATTATTGTTGATGTAGGCGTTTACAGGATAGAAGAGGAGATGTGACACATACATAGATATTTAGAGTAGGAAATGGCAGGGTAAGTAAGAGCAGAGAGGGAGCATAAAGAAATGTTTCATGAAGGAATCAGCATTTAACCTGAATCTTGAATGGTGGGTAGAGCAGAGATGGGCAGAGATAGAACTGGCACCCCATAAAATAAAACACAAGGGCAGCTGCTA